AATGCTGTCGGTGAGTGACGCAAGCCCTTCAATCCAATCCCCCAGCGCCCCCACTCTCCCAATTCCCCGAGATGTCCGAAGTTCTTTTCGCGGCCATTGATCCCAGGCGCCTTGCGCGACGCCCTGCCGCGGAGTGGAGGGCGCCCGAGCGTCTCGGGGCACGGCACGGCGATTCCGAATCGGTGCTCACAATGCAAGCTCGGCTGACGCCAAACGCCATCCCTGAACCAAACCATCGCCCGCCGTCGGACGACCCCCGCGCTGCAGTTTGGACCGCGGGACGGCAGCCAGGAACAGAAACATAGAAAACTACAGCAGATATTGCCCCCCTTCCCCGTTTTGCGCCCAATCCACAAACCAATCCGCCACCCGTATCTGTTGAACAAACATCCGCGCGATCATCCAGTCTTGAGAACGGCGACGAGGAATGCATCTAACAATGAACATGCCCTTCCAACCCCCAGAGAGCCCACGGCACCGCTCGGTCAACTTCACCTGCGGCGATGGCCCCAGCGGCCCCGCTGCATTTTGTTGGCGGCCGGCGGCGGGCGGTTGGAGGCCAAGACAGCTTTTTTCTATAAAGCTCCGCTCGCTTCGCTTACTCGCAAGGAAAAATATGCCCTTCCGGGCCCCAAACCGTCGACAGCCCCGTTTGGCCACGCCCACTGGCGGCGATCGCCCTTGCGCCCTTGTTCCCGCCACGTGCTGATCGACAGAAGCGGCGGGCCTGAAGTTTCCGCGAGCACGTTGGCGCCTTGGCCGCGGGTGGACCCCCCCTGGGCCCCCCGTCAGCTGCCCGCCTGTTGCAGCGGCTGGAGCGACGCCCGACCCGCGGGCATTTCCGGGAGCGTGCCGGGCGGCGGGGCGGCAATTGCCGCCGTTCTTTCCGCTGACGCTGAAGTAAGCTCAGCACGCGGAGCTCAAGCTGCGCTTAAACTAAGCTTAAACTAAGCTCAAACAAACTAGTTTGAGCAAACTACACAGTTTGTTTCCTTGTACTTTGTTTCCTTGCGGTTTGTTTTCTCCTAGTTTGGTTCCTTGTAGTTGGGCTCCTCGTACGTTATTTCCTTGCGGAAATAGAGGGAGAGGGGGAGCGCGAGGGCGGGGCTGGCAGCACCCCTTTAGCCTGCACAGTAGAGTGCCGAACAGTGGTAACAGATGCCCATCCTAGACAATCAATCTGCCATCACCAGATTGTTATTTGTATGCCAGACCAGTGTACCCATAGCTTAGGTGAGCTTTTTAACCCGACCACGAACTGCCCGGACTGCCGCGACTCGAAAACTGGCATCTCGCACTGGGTGCACTTCCAAGGGGCGCCCTGGACCCAGCACATGGCCCCGCCACATGCCCTTTGTGCCCACATTGCTGAAAGCTGCGAAGCTTTGGACAAACTATCAAAATAGCAAAAAACTGTCCACAAAACATGCACAGGGGCTGTCTTTGAATTCGGGCCCGCTCCTTACATCTAATTAGGGATTATAATCCCTGACCCCCTCCCGCTGGGATGCGCCCTGCCCATGGCGCACACAACACACCCAGCAAGTTGGCCCAGTAACGAACTGCCGGTAACTCACTAGCCCGTATACCACTTCCTCGTTCACAGAAATATTTGATCCATTTGAAATGCTGCCCACGCGACTAACACAAGATTCGCAGCAATTAGACAGGACGATTTCGAATTCTGAAAATGACAATTTCAAATCGGCCTACGCTCCCAATGCAGCACAGGCAGCACCTGAACGCGGCGACACATAAGGGAATTTGAATTTTGCAGAATGGGCAGTTTTGCAGCTGCCACCACAGCGTGGGCAGGCGCCTACAGCTGGGTCTCGGCCTTCTCCGCTAGCTTCCGTATGGTCTCCATGTCCGCCTCCACCGCCTGCGCCTTTGCCGTATTTTTGCGCATCTTGTGAATGGCGGCGGAATCGCCGTAGTCCTTTAGGGCCCTTATGTACTGCTTCTGATGGCTGAGCGCCGCGCCTCGTCGGGCCAGTATCCGGCCCAGGAGGTCCACTGGCCAAAACAGACCGCCCCGCAAAATGGGTAAACTTGTTGCACAAAATTTTGCACAAAGGTTTGCAAATAACAAGCTGCTGTACGCGAATTAAATCCCCAAATGGCTCGGCAGCGCTTTGGAACGAATGGCACAGAGAGGATGCGCGGCATCATAGTTTTGTCTCTCGAAAAAGCATGGAAATTACTTGGAGAAATTAGAGCAGTCATGAGCATGGCTAACTGCACTGCTGTTTTATTTTCTAAAGTACTCGCACTTTGGTGTTGTTGTCAAACAAACATTCAATGACATATTCCTTGCATATCGTGCATGTGGGCGTTACTTTTAGTATTTCTTCTGTAATCGTTAGCCTGCTGGGCGCCCACGCCTGTGCTCAATGATTTGAGGTGGTCGCTGTGGGTCCGTCCCCCGATGTCAATAGCAAAGGGCAAGCAAACGATGGTGCAGTATTATAGTGAATTATGGGTGTTGGATCAATTTATCTTAGGCAAACATCGTTATGAGAAAATACCTAGTTTGCAATGCCAACTGCGATGCCATTTGGCACGAAGTGTCGCCATCACAGTCATTGCGATGGGACAAAAGTGGATGCGATGCCATCAAATAGTGTCAAGTGGCATCGCAAGAATATCTATTTCTACTGGTGTATTTACAGCGTGGTGCGATGTGATGCGGGCGTAACTGTGTGGAATTCTCTAGTGGAACATTTCGTTAAGCGACGGCCTCGATGAGTTTTCCCCGTGAATAGCTCAGCACTTTATCAACAGACTCAACGTCATTAGCCCGCGTCTTCAAATCACTTGATGCGGCCATGACTGATCACCAACACCTGCTTGCTTCTTGGTTTTAAGCAAATATCAAATAAGAAATACAAACGCATAAAACAATCGAAACGTAAATGCAATTAAATGCGGAATTTTGAAAATTCTCTTTCCCCCTCGACTTGAATAAAAACCAGAGTGTCGCTTGCCACCATTTTAGCACTTCACCTTCCGAGCAGCCGTCGCTGCGACACTGGGCCCATTCCAGGAAGCCTTGCTGGCAGCTTCCCGTCAATTCCTTAAGTACTAAGTCGCAGTCCGAAACGGCCTTTGCGTATTCTTCCAGCAGCAGCTGGCAGGCGGCTCGGTTGGCTATTGCGTCATGCCTGGGGCCACATTTCTCGGCTGAAATTAGATGCTGCCTTAATGTATGACTAATTCATGAGCCAAAATACTGTATTTCGTGATAATTATTACGCGAGATACCAGTAGTAGCTGCTATAATGTGGAAAAAGCAGCAAGGAGCGCAACTCTATACAAAACATGAGAAGTGGCCCTGCGCTGCGAGGAATGGTTCAGGGCTCTGCCAGACCAGCAGAACAACTGTCGAATCTGAAAATCATGTGCATACAGCAAAGGACAAAATGTCAGGATAGAATCGCAAGCTGTGTGTGAAGGTGGGTGGCTTGAGCACCCAGATGAGCAAAATGGGTAATCTTCCACTGTTGCGGAAGGCGTGCTGTGCGGCTGCTCCTGTGCCACGTTCTTTGCTCCACCACCTCTCACCATTGCCTGAGGGGCGCAAGGCTGAAAATCGCAAGGGTCCAAGTGTGAAGCGCTTTTCAAATCCCAAGATCGATTGAGTACGTGAAAGACTTGTGGCACAAGCGGGTCTTTTTCGTTAAGCCGAAAGATTTGGCAAATTGAATAGATATCTAAAGAGAACTTTGTGGGGTTAGTGGGTTGACACATGGGCGGCCCTGGACACGGCCATGATACATTCTGACGGGTCATCTATTGCGGGCATAGCACGGACGGCGGCACGCACATCTTTGTCACAACACCATATGCAGGAAATCTCATTCTGATAGAGAGAATTTCTATTAACCTTTCGAGTGAATTAGGAGAAATTCTGCCTTTGGGCGCCACCTCTGCTTCCGCGTGGCTCCCGGCGCCGCCGCCGCTTTGCTGTACTCGTCGGCGGCGCCCTCCAAGTGGCCCCTCCTGAACCGCGCTGCACCCCTCTGAAGGAGGTCAGAAACGTCCGGCGGCCGCATGCAGCCGCGCACCTCGTCCAAGTTCTCCATGAGCTGCTCGTTCTGGGGATCGTATCTGCGCGGCGCCCCCATGGAATCCTCACACACGCGAGTGAAATCTACAAAGTCGATTATTACTAAACTCGAATCCTAAAATTCATCTTAAATCACATCTTAAAAAATCGGATTCTAACTAATGGCCGAGTTTTTGCTAGTTTACTTGTTTTACACAGTGTAAATTGCGGATTTGGACCACTTTGAGTGCGCTGCGCTCAGCACATTCAAACCCCTGGTGCTTGTGCCTCTTAGTGTATTGCGGGCATTTTAGGCCTTAAATGATGCTTTGCAGTTATTGGATAATGTTTTGCTCATCAACGTCTTCCACTGGTTGCCGGGCGTGGTGGGGGTTAAATGCGTTAGTGTTTGAGAAAGTCTCGCTAGAGCAACAGTGGTGCAAGTATTCATGATGTGCTAGAGATGGGCTAGTAAATTACAAAAGGTAAACAGCCGTGGTAATGTGTGAAAATGGGCCAATAAATAGACCATTCGACGGTGTGCGGTACACTGGAAAGTAAGCACCGATCCTTGTGGAAATGAAGTAGTCAGATATCTTACCTTTATTGTTGACTCGGCGATATTTTAGAATACACTATTGTCATACTGTAAGCAGTAAGGCATGGTGGTGGTTGGATGGAAGCATGATCGTCGCTTCGCTAGGATCTCGCGCCGCACATGCAGCAAAATTAACTTTCCATGAAACACTGCTCACCATGGAGCCAAACACAGTACACCATTTCATGTGCCTTACTTGGTGATTTCGCAATATATATTACCTATTCGATTAAATAATTGTAGAAAATACAAAACCGTGTTGCCTTGTCTAGGACAAAAAAGCCGCTCTTTTCCCAAAACAGTCCATCGAATTCCACTCACTTTCCCACTTTCTCAATTTGCAAATGCCCACACCTGGCGGCCTCTGCAAAATCCGCCTCCGCGTCCCCGAACTCCTTCATGGCGCATCTGCTCGCCGCTCGTCGGCCCAGCACCTTCGACATCAGCCGCTTGAACTTCTCGACGCCTTCCGCCAGAGCTCCGCTTTCGTATTTTTCTTTCTGGGGCCGGAGGCGCTCCAGCGCGGCCGTGCAGTCGCCCGCGCAGGCCTCGTGCCGTCCCATCTTGAAGTGGCAGGCCGCGCGGTTGGCGAAGTAGACGGCGGGCGAGGGGTCGAGTTCGATGGCTCGGCTGTAGGCGTTTGCGGCCCCCCTGCGGCGCCCGAAGGGCAGCTTGGCTCGGATGGATTACGGGCCAGCAATGGGCGGTCGTGGCGGGGCTTGCCCTTCCATTAGGAAAAATTGGCCGCAGAATTTATTGCGTGGTTTTGGGTTTATTCACCGGCGAAACCAGCAAGACGGTGACGAAAATGCGCCTGTCCTGAAAAACCAAGGCACGAGGCTGCTGGATGACGCGCGCTCCTACGCCGACATGTCACCGATTCCTCACGGCCGTGTCGCAACTGACTCATTGGGAAAATGCAGGCAACAATTGTGCACAATGTTGTGTTAATTGCTGAGCTGTACTTCATATATTGTTGGTGCTTTACTTTAGTTGCTCGGCGCATAGATCGTGCACTCACTCGTAGTTCCGTTGTTCGTACAGCGCGTCCCCTTTGTCTTTCAAAAATGCGGGTTGCCTGTCGCCGATGTCCACGCCGCCGTCGCCCGCCCCCTCGATACCTGAATATCAACAAATAAACAAATAAACAAATAAACAAACTAATAGATGAATAGATGAATAAGAAAAAGAGCAGGTGAGTAGTGAATGAATATATAAACGGATAAAAATATTTTTCATTCCACATAGATATGTGTCCACGCACCACGAAGACATGAACGCGGCTGTGTGGGCATCGGCGCTGTCGCCAATCTAGCCACAAAAGAAAGAAAGATAAGCATTGAGCAAGTATACAAATGAGGAATATACACAAACATTCAAGGGCAGCCAGAAACAAAGAGTTGGTCCCGCACACTGCAAATACATAGCTGCGTGGACCCATATGTATGTGTGTTCACAAAAATTGTTTTTATCTCTTTAAACTTTCATTCAATCATTAATTTCCTGATTTGTTTGGGAAAATACATAGCTGCTGTCTATTTGTAGTTTGTTGTTGCACACCTCGGTTTTGTTTCTTGTATATGCGGATGTCCTCCTCCCGAGACTCCCGGGCGGGCAGGTGGTCCGTCTCCAGTTTCGTAAACTGAACCGACACGGACTGCAGCGGCTGGCGAGGGGGTGGCAGGGGCGCGAATGTGACGCCCCCGGGCACCTGTAACGCAACGCGCACAGATGGGAACGCCGCCCAAACAGTACGTCCAACCTACAATTTTCTTCTGTCGCACGTTAAACATGAATACTTAAAATGCTAAATATACGTGGATAGTTACAAATGTATAATATGCGCGAATGATTAAATATTTTAAACACGAAATTTTCGTAGTCATAAAATTTTGTTGTTGTCATTGACATTAATGTTTTCATGATGTTTCTTGTCATATTGTATTGTAATATTGTGTTGCGTCATGTTTGTGATGCTACCTTTTATGATTGCTGTGAATTAAGCAGCTCGTGGATGGGCAACTGTGAATGTCATTAAGCAAAAGCTTCTTGGCGGCCGCAGGGAGGGCAAATTGTACAAGAATTCAGTGCCCTGATGGCGTCATCATCTTGTACCGTGACGAGCTGGATGTGGGGCCAAAAGTCTATGCAGAACAAGTTGAGCCAGTACATCCAGGTGCGCCGAGGTACAGCAGTATGGTGCTCTTCGTTTTGTGCATAATTGTGCATCGCATGTATGTTTTGTGGAATAGCATGCTCAACCACTAAACTGCAGAAGCAATATCTTAGGAAGAGATTTCACAATGCCCCACATTCTCCATTCTCAAGCATTCTTTCTCCGAGCAATTTTTCACTTGCGAGCATTGCCGTGCGGCGTAGCGCAGAAGCCACAATATCGGGCCAGCGATTCGTCTGTTGTCCTTCCCAAACCAGTTAGTCGGCCCGTCCGTCAGAAATACATAATCGAGATCGTTAACTTTCCCTCACGACGTGCGACGTGTGCCGCCATTTGGGCGTGATGCACCGGATGGACAACGGCGCAACGAGCGACTCGCGTGCAAACAAACACCGTCCATGGGTCTATGCCCGCCATTTACCGAAGCTCTCCCAAGGCATTGCCCTTTCCACCAATAGCAGATTGAATAATTTTAAGCACGCACCTCTCTAGGAAGACGACAAAATCCAGTGAAACGCGACTGCTGTGGCCGCAAGCATCAATCACCCCCGATGGCCAACGCGCCGCGCACGCCATACTTCACACCTCGCCTTCTTCCGCGGCTACACATTCGCCACAAGCCTCCTCCCCCTCGCATGCCTCCTCTCCACATTCCCATATCTCGCCGACGCGCCTCTCCGCCTCTCCTCCTTCTCCATTCCTCGAAGCGCCGTCACTCCTCTCCCCTTCCCGTCCCTGGTCCCCTTGGCCCCCGCCGCCCTCGTACCTGCCTGGCCAGTAGCCCCTGCCATGGTAACAGGGCTGGTCGTGCCAGTTTTCCTCGGCACCAGGATGACTAATCCGACCGCGCGACGGCCCTCCCTGCTGCCACTCCGCCAGGTGGGACCGCTCCGACTGGAGCTCCTTCTCTTTGAGCTCCTCGATGGTCCGCCTCTTGCGGCGGTCCGACTCAATCTCCTGGTCAGACACCTCCCTGGTGCGAACAAATGAGTATTCAAACTCGTTATTTACAGTGTAGAAACGGCGTGCATGGAGGCATATTTACGCAGAAACGGGTAAAAATGCGCAAGTAAAGGCTCTTTTCAAATGCTAATTTTGCCGCGTTCAGGTGAATATGAACGAAGCAGTGTAGGTGATGATTGATTGAATATCATTGATTCAAATAAACGTGTCTGGATCATTACGTGCACGCTTGTCATTCACGGCGTGAGCGCAATCCGCATTTACGTATTTTGCCCGTTTTTACATAAATTACGCATATGCACACTTGCTGTTTGCGCCGTAAATATCAAGCCTGATTACATGAATTTAGAAGAAGGTTGGGATATAATATAGTGAATCTAATTCCTAATTTGCCTTTCAAATTTTGATCAAACTAATTTGCTGGGCAATCGTATAAATCTCGGTCAAATTGCACCCGTGGTTAAGCCATCACTTCTTACCGCCATGAACCTACACTTCGCCATTTATTGGGCAGCGTACATGGCCGACACCTGGGTATCTTTCACTACTAAAAGCATGCCAAAATACACGGGTTCCAAATCGTGCATCGCGTAACACGATTGAAAGTCGTGTAAATTTGTGTTGCATTGTGTACTTATCGTGCAAAAATGAGGCCAAACCGTGTAGTAACTACTGAGTGAGTGTAATGGTTTTTGCAAGTTTTGCCACAGTTTTGCACTGAGTATTTGCACAGCTCAAAACCGTGTGCTCTGGCCGATTTTCTATTGTGTTCCTTGTCGGCCCGAGGCACGAACTTTTTGAACTTTTCCCTTTGTTCCAGGCGTCTCTTTTGCGCCTCCTGCAGCCTGGCATGGCACTCTTCAATTGAGTCATTTCTCCTCTTCAGTATGTCCTCCTTGGAGCCCTCGGCGAGGAGGCGACCCCAAAGGCCAGCTCCGCTCTGCAGGCATGGGCTGATTCAGAGTCTGCTATCGATCGAATTTTCAAGCATCCAATTTTAAGTATTCTAAACTTCAAATGAAAATGAGCTGAGCGCACGAGGCGCTCAATCAAGCCTGTCATCGTCATTCGATAATACGATGAGATTATTCGATGAGAAAATCCCTTATTTGTAAACTGATGGGATCCAGATGGGATCCCAGTTTGTAGCTTGAGAAAAGAGATTGAGGTGTTTAGGCGAAGTCAAAGTGGGTCGGCGCGAGGATAGCGAGGTGTCCACAGCCCAACTCAAATGACGTCACCAGCCCCCGGCATTTGCTGTGGACGCTGCATTCCTCATGTCGAAACTGGAGCCCCTCAATATTTTGCCCAATATCGTTAGAAATACTGCAGAGGTACGTTTCACTTCACAAGCACTTCAGCTGCATCTTCATTAGATCTGCCCACATAAGAACGTTCACTTAAATTATTAAGTTACCTTCGCTATGTAAATTGCGTAAATTTGTAACGTTTCATTCATGTCTAAATATAGATTCATATTGCTAATTTGAAACTATGATGAGCCTGTGAATCCAGTGCCCTCTAGTACGGCGGACTGGATGCTGAAAAGGCGCAGACAGCATCAAAAGCGCGGCAGCATTAGTCAGCCGCCAGGGCCACCCAGAGACCGCCCCGAGCCGACTCATCATAACTCATCCCGACCCGCCATGCCTCCCCCAGGCGCTCCGGGCCCCCGGACCGCAGCCAGCCACGCCTCACCCCCCCCCGGCAGACGCCAACCGCCATCGATATTTCGATTCGATATTCGTAAAATTATGAATATCGGATCGAAATATCGGTTTCAATCGCAGCTTATCCATGCCCGCGGACAAGCGCCAAGAACGCCCAAAGGTCCCGATGCTTGCGCGCTCTCATCGTGTGGCGAAAGGTGAAACGCCCTTTGCCCTTTCTGGTTCATCTTCTTTTGGCGAGAAAAGGATAAAGCAGGAAAGGCGGAAAGGTGGGAAGGTGGGAAGTAAGAAAGGAGGAAAGGAGGAAAGGAGGGCAGGGAGCGTGCGGAGGACCGAAAGGCGACGGAATGGGCTATTTCACCGCGGGCAAGGTCGGATGAGGGGGACGGGGATTTCTGTGTCGGTCGATTTTTGTGTTGATGTTGGCAGCGGCCCACCAAGGCGGAGGGGGCCAGGGCAGCGTCCCCCGCGGCGAATTGGGCTCCTTCGGCGTGGCGAATCGAACTTCGTGGCGTCGGCGGGGTGGGACTGGGAAAATAGGCATCTTTGAGTAACGCGCGTGCCCCCCGCCCCGCATGAGGGCTCGAGCCTCGCGCCGTTTGGTACCTATTTTTGGCGCCGGGGGCCCGCGGGCGGCCCGACGGCGCAAATCGGGGCAGAAATGCACGGGGGCGCTTGGCGGGAAGTGCCAGAAATTGCCACGGGCCCGCGCTCGGAATGGGGAATTGTCGTCCCTGCGGTTGACGTCCGGCGCTTCAAGGGCGGCGGGAAGAGGGGGGGGGGGGAGAGCAGGCGCGCAAAGGCGCGCTTCGAGCAGCGGCATCCCAGGCGGGGTTTCCTCCCACACCAACACTCCAGTCCCCTCTACCCACATCCACGGTCTCCCCTGGCAAGCCTCCCTGGCAGCCGCGCTCTCCCCCCAACCCACCCCAAACCACCCTTTTCCTGCCCGTGGTCCTCCTGGCCCCCCCTCCTCTTCGCCTTGACGGTCAAATAGCTCAGCCAAAATCTCACCCATCTCCCCCAATCCCCTTGCCAGGCCTTCGCACCCAAGTCGCGCACCTTCGCCAGGCGGAACGTGACGCCCTCAGCGTCCACGGTGGCCGCGGCCGTAGAGGGGTCGACGTCTCTGAACAGGTCCAGCAGCAGGAGGTAGGGGCCGGCGTTGACTTTGAGCAGCGCGGAGGTGGCGGAGACGCCCGCGCCGCGGCGCCCAGGCAGGCCGCGCGCCGCCACGCGGACGGTCAGGCCGGTGGGCGTCTCTTCCCAAGTGTATTTTGGCGTGATGGGCATGTTGGGGGATGTTCCGGGGCCCGGGGAGGGGGCGCAAGGATGGGTCGGAGATGGGGCAACGTCGCATTCAGTCGCCAGAGCGCGGTTTAAAATTGATTAATTGAGTGATTTATCGAATGATCAAATGATCGAATGGTCGATTGATGGCTTGATTCATTAATTCAATCATTCATCCATTCAGCAATGCTAAATGCCGCTATGATGATCACCCATTTTTCCATTAAAAGGGCAACGAGATGGCCTTCAGTTTCTTGTTTTGGCCGAGAAATGCAGCGTCCACGATCAGTTCACTGAAGCCAGCCAAGTACAGTCGCCAGTGCGCATTTTCAAATTGATTGCTTGACTCGTTCGGGAATGTTGAATATCATTGTAATGACCATTCGTTGTTTTGCATGAAAAAGCAAGCAAGCAGGTAGCAGCCAGCTTCAAATCTTGCCGAGCGAAGCTGTGTCCGTTATTTGTCCGCTGCACTCTTAAATACCAAGGCAAGCAGGTAGCCGTCCGCTTTCCTCCCTAGCAAGGCTGGGCACCTCCTTGCTTTCATGTGCAGACCTTTTTGAATTCACCCATCGAAGGCAAGAGGCGACCATCAGCTCCTAATGATTTTCCAATTCAAGAGGTGCTTCATATTTCTAATTGCTCCAGGAAATTCAAAGAATCAATCTGAATAAAACTCTGATTCATTGAGTGCGCTACGCCCCCGGGTTGATGTGAACAGTTGCTTGCAAAATAGGAAGGAAAAATAGGAAAAACAGAATAGGAAGTTGATGGCTAACTTGCTGCCCTGTTATGTATCAATAAATGGTGATGATAAAAAAGTTCTTGATGTATTGCCGTGACTTGCATTCAGGGGGTGTATTGACATGACGAGGCAGCGCCGTTGCACCAAAATAAGTGACTACGGGAACATATCCCCGCCAGCGAAGCTGCGATAGTCTTCATTCGGATGTTCTTTGATGAAGAAAGAAAAAACCAGGAAGATCATATCTTCCTGATACAGTGCTGAGGATGCACCATTCACTCTTGACCAAGTGCTTTTTTTCACCAAATTTGATCAAGAGGGAATGTTGTTCTCTCAACAGTGACTTGGCCATGCGATACGCTGATCATGGTACGTGTCTCAACTGAAATCAGACAGTCTAGCAACTTCCGTTTCTCTCTGGCCACAACACTGGCGAAAAAAGAACCAAAGACGAGGCCAAAGCAGCACGATTTTTTTCCATCTGAACGCAGCTATAAGACGCAATTGGAAGATAGAAATTGCGTGAAGTGGATAGCATTTTGCGAGCGCTGTGAAATCACAGCGATTGGAAATGCACAAGCAGCAATCAACAACAGAATTTGGAACAGGAGTATTTGAGGACGTCGGTGACGTCGATTTGGCGGCAGGTACGCCGAAATACGTGCGGCCAGGCTGGCGCCGCGAGAAGGCACTGTGGCAGCGCGTGTATTCTTTCAGCACTGCATATATCTCACATGGCTTCATCGATACAATCTCTCAGGCCAGGGTTGTAAGTTTTCCTTCATCAGGGGTATCACAGATCACGAACAAGAAACGCGTGTGGCGAAAGGCGCGCGCCGGCACCAGCCTTGACTTCTGTCCACTTTCAATCTGACATTTAAAATAAGCAAAATACCGGTTACCGCACCACAATGTAAAACAGGCGTCCTTGCACGCCAGTGCACGCCTCGTGCACACGTGTCGTGCACTGAAGTACAACAACCAAAATATTGATTATGTCTGCCTCGTCTGCGGATGAACACATGAGGATTTCAGCAAGCTGGTTGCGGCAATTCCGCTACAGCAAAGGCGGTGTGGCGGCTCTCGTCCGGAGAGCACCGGTATCGGGCATCGAATGCTCGATTTTCCAATGTGCTCATTCAAACATGCGTCGCACATGTGCGACGCTGTACAGCACTAGCGCGATCTCAACAGGGATAGTCGCCGCAGTACAAGTGCCTCACACGTCCGCCCACGGCCGAAAGAAAAGACAGGCGGGCCAAAAACTCGCGCGAGCCTTGGCATGAGAATTCCCGGGGCGTGCGCCGCCGCGACGCGCACGAAATTCCCTCATTCCTGCGCGACGATGTCGCGTGCACGAGGAAAATTTTCATGCGACTTGCTGAGGCAAATCCAACGTGCCTTGGGCATCGTGCGCACTACCAATAATTGTTCCGCTCACCGTACTGCGCCGTCTGGCGCCTCGGCAGGTTTGGCTTGCAGCCGACGTTTTGGCGCACGACAACCTCGTTGTTCAATGCCATACGGCGATCGACTGACGCAACAGCCTGTGCCCCCCTTCCCCCGCGGCGCAGATTCCTAACCACCCCACCAATCCCTTACCCTGCTGGCCTCTTGGAAGCGTGGCTCCAGCGTGCTGGCCTGCCAGACCATTACGTAATCTCAACACCGCCCGGGACGTCCCATCCCCGTCCACCCGGCTTCACCTTTCTCCGCCGCTCTCGAAGGGCGGCCGCCCCGGCACACCGCGGAATTAGGTGGTCCGTCCTTTACCCTTGCACCCCCGCCCCCCCGGCCTTGCCGCTGCAAGGATTGGCCCACAGCGAGCGCCCCGCACACACACAAACACACACAGGGTGCTGCCGCTCAGCCCTCTCTCAACGGCGAATATTTCGGAGTCGAGACGGCCCTGCCGCTGTCCCAGGCGACGAGGGCAGTAGTGGGCCTCGTTGCGCAGCTGCCAAGGCGGGCCTTACAAGGAGGTACGAGGAACCGCCCAAGGGCGGGAGAGAGCACAACCTTTGCGGGCAGCGCCGAAAAATGTTGTCTCTGGGCTCTATTCTCGCAACCTGCCGGAGCGCCAGCAGCTTGGCGAGCGGCCTGGGCTGCCCACGCCTGCCATGAGCAGTGCAATTTTCGTGGCGCCTGTGGGTGCGGACGTGCTGCCGGTGGCTAGAGCGTGGCCAGCAGGGCTGCATGGGCGCCTCGGACGCGCCGGTGAGTCGTCGGCAGC